TCTCCCTTAACATAACTAAAATAGTAAAAAAAGAAAAAAACAATTGTGTTCCTGATAACAAAATATCAGAAAGGCTACATTCTGAATTTACTTTTTCTTTCTGAATTTCAGTTTCTTGTCTATAAAAAGGTATGCTAAAACTACATACTAGGCAGAATGATCTTGAGTACAGCAATAGTACATGAACAGTGCTTCATACAATCCTAGAACATGGTATATACGCAATACATTCTATAATTTTTGAAAGTATTATATGGTGGAAGGGCCAACCTAATTACAATGGGCCAGGCTAATTACAATTACATACACACCAAAGTAGAATTATTGATACCTCCCATCCCTAGAGTGCTGCAGAAATTACAAAACATGGCAGCTAGATGATGTAGGAAACATTTACAAGTTTAAAGAGAACACCTATGTAGGGTAACATGGATGAATCTAATGGAATATAATATTGAGCAAAAGAAGCAAGACACAGTAACATAAATACTATGATTCCATTTATAAAAGTTAAAGACAGGCAAAACTAAACTATATTGCTTGGGAATGCATAGTTAGGCAGCAAAACTATAAAGTAAAGCCAGGAATTCAGGAATTCTCTCTTTCTTCTCTCCCCTTCCCCTTTTCTTCCTAGAAAACAAAAACACCAGCGTAGTGGTTCCTTCTGAAGGGTACTGAGGGGTTTGCCCGGAGAAAAGGCACATGAGTGCCTAAAAGGGTGTTAGCCTTGTTTTACTTCTTGACCTGGGTGGTGGTTAAACGGGTGTTGCCTTTAGAATAATGTGCCAATTTTCTAGTTGTTTTGTGCATTTCTATTATATATACTGTATTTCACAACAAAGTTTTAAAAAGATTTGTAAAAGACACATTTAGTAAATAAAGCTGAAAGGAGTTACTCAACATTCCTATTAAAGATATTTGGTTGTCTCTCCACATGGACTACTAAGATAATAGAATTCAGCTGCACAGTGGGTCTATGTAAATATCCATTTGTGTACTGACACAGAGGACTCATGCCCTGGAGCCGCTGTGATGTTTAATTGAAAGGCATTTGATCAGAGGTTGCCAGGATCCATTAGACACTAAATATATCATCAACCTAATTACATATGACTTACTAGTTCAGTGCTGATTATATCCAAAATCATCAGAGTCTTAAAAATAGTCATGCTTGTTTGTCCCAACAATGTTTTCAACCATGGTTTCTATGGTTCTAACCACATATGGAGAAATAATATATGTCCTCACGGGGAGAAGAGTGATTTCTGAGTTTTAAAAAGGCAAAGGTTGTCATTTTGCCACTTTGAGAATATCCCTTGATCTAGTTTGATCTATGTATGTTCCACCTAGAGACTAAATTAAAACTCTAACCAAAATATTAAAGGATGGAAATATAGTCAATGACTGTGGTTTATCATTCCATTATTAGAATTGACTAGCAGTATTTTGACACCTAGATAAGACTGCTTTAGTGTGTCTATGTGTATTGTATTATTTAAGTTATATAATATTAGAAACTTAAAAACAATTTGGTATCAGAGTTGGTGACTGAGGTTGAGTTTGGTATTCAGTTGTTTCCATGCAACTGAATTGTTAAAATGTTTACAATTTCCTGTGATTTATTTTCTGAAGCAAGAAAAGGGATCTAACATTAATATGCTTCTTTTAGATTAATTAGATTTACTTTAATGAAATATACAAACAAGAAAGTATAATTTATATTTATAGTTTAAAGAATAATAATAAAACAAACACCCTTTTACCCACCACACAGCATAAGAAATAGAACATAACCGAAACCTTCACTTCCCTTTCTCCCCCATAAGAGGCAAATGCCACCCTGAATTTTGTGAATATCATTCCATGCTTTTCTTTGCGTAGTTTGGTTTACCTGTTTTTAAGCTTTATATAAATGAAATCATGTGGCAGTATTCTTCAATAACTTTTCTTCATTCATTATTGTACTTTTGAGATTTATCATGTCAATAAATACATCTACTTCATTCATTTTAAATGCCATATATTCAACATGCCGTGACAGCAGTCAGACCATGTGTATCATATAGTTTCAGGGGACTGCCAATATTTCTTCAACAATTGCCATTTCCATATACACCAGCCTTTCACCCGCCCATGCCTCAATTTTTTGCCTGAAGGCTTTCTCTGGCCATCAGTGACTACTCAGTCTGAACACACAACAGGCTGAAAATACCAAGGATTTAATGTTCCTCGGGAGCAGTTCTCAACCAATAACTGGGATAAACTAGAAGTAAGTGTTGTAAACTGTCTCCCAGAGTTCCCCAGCAGGATCAAACTCCAATTGCCCACAGTGATAATGTGATAACACACCTTTATTGGTTTTCTTCCCTTTTGTTTAACTTCCCCATTATCTGCTGGTGTTTCTTGGAAACATATCCCAAACAAAACCCTCTCCATTCATTGCCTCAGGTCTGTCTTTGGAAGGACACAAACTAAAACAGCAGGAAAATTAAACTTAAGAACCTCTAAATACCTGATTCTGCTACGCCTCCAAGATAACGCAGCCATGCTCCAGATTTCTTCAGGGGTGTCTGGGAGTTAAGCTCCTCTTGAAATCCAAAATAGGAAACACAAATAAAAGTCCTCAGCCTGTTCTGCCCTCACTTAATTAGCACATGTAAAACTGAAACACATCTTTCCTGAATCTCTTCCTTTTCTCTCTCTCTTCTCTCCCCTTCCCCTTATCTTCCTAGAAAATAGACAAGCTTTTCTTGAACTTTCCCTGCATCCTATCTTCCTTCCCTGTTGGAAAGCGAGCTTCCTGAGTTCACTACCATTGACTGAAGGGACATCCTTTCTATACTACAGGAGAACTCTATGTTCTAGGTCATCCAGGCTCAGCCCTGGGTATGTTAAGTAGGAAAGATTAAGGAATTTATAAAATTATCTCTCAAAACTTGTATACATTTATTTTTTAATTTCAGAAACTACCACTTGTCTTTATCTTTAATTCTTTCTGAAACATCCATTTCCCTGGTAGAAGTTAGACAGTAAAGAAAAAATACATAGGAGGAAAAAAGAAAAGGCAAATAAAGAACACAAAATTTCAGGATCTGTTCATAGAAAAATAGGCCAATTTCAAACAAACAGTTCTCCCAAGACTCAAAGAAACTAAAGGCAAGTTGGCTTTCCTTTAAAAAAAAAAAAAAAGATCCTGAAGGAATAACAAGAGATAGATCAAAAGAGAGCTGAAACAAGAACAAGAGATAAAAAGTGAGTCTGTGGAGCTCAGAGATGAATAGAAACATAAAATGAAATTATTACAGAGATGAAATTCTCATTAGAGTCAACAAATGGTAAGACATAGATATGGATAAAAATACAGTCTAGGAGAAAAAGAATAGCCTTGAGTAAATAACATAAAATGAATTTGAAAAGAACAGAGTTAAAATAAGAAAGGAGGTGGTATGGACATTAAACAATCATTGTCATGGAAGAAAATAATATATGGAATGGGAAAAATTCAAATATATAATTGAATATAATTTTCTTGAAACAAAATCTCAAATCTATAGATTACAAAGATATAGCCAATATCCTGAAAATTTTGATGAAAGCTAATTACTAAGATATCTTAAAAATGAATTTAGAGCAGCAGGTTGTAAGAAGTTACACAGTAGAAAATAAGAAGCACATGAACCAAGTCGACCAAAATGAGAAAGAATAGGAGGAAATGAACTGAAGAGGCATTTAAGATCCTGGCATTTAGTAAGCCTACCATGGTGTGGTTGTTAAGAGGCCAGCGCTGTAAACTGCCTAGATTTGGATCCCATCTGCCCTTTATTACCTGTGTGACCAAAGCAAGTTATTTTGCCTCTCCATGCCTCAATATTCTTAATTTTAAAATGGAGATGATATTAGCCACTCACATAACACAGTGACTATGAAGATTGAGAAAATACATTTAGTCTTTTTTAAAAAATGCCTTGCCGGCCGGGCGCGGTGGCTCACGCCTGTAATCCCAGCACTTTAGGAGGCCGAGGCGGGGGGATCACGAGGTCAGGAGATCGAGACCATCCTGGCTAACACGGTGAAACCCCGTCTCTACTAAAAATACGAAAAATGAGCCGGGCGTGGTGGCGGGCGCCTGTAGTCCCAGCTGCTCGGGAGGCTGAGGCAGGAGAATGGCGTGAACCCGGGAGGCAGAGCTTGCAGTGAGCTGAGATCCCGCCACTGCCACTACACTCCAGCCCGGGCGACAGAGCGAGACTCTGTCTCAAAAAAAAAATTAAAAATGCTTTGCCATATTCAGCACTATTAATTATTATTAAGTTCAACAGAGCTTGGTGATTCTCTGAAGGTAAGAAAGTGACAGGGAAGACACGAGATGATTCCTAGGTTTCAGGATGTGAAAATCATAATGCTATGCCCTATAGAGAGAACACAGAACAAAGGGAATACAGAAGAAATGATTTTTTTTTATTCTCAAATATAGTCCCCATCCAAATCTCATCTTGAACTGTAGTTCCCATAATTCCTGTGTGTATTGGGAGGGGACCACATGGGAAAAATTGAATCATGGGAATGGTTTCCCCCATCCTATTCTCGTGATAGTGAATTAGTTCTCAGGAGATCTAGTGGTTTCATAAGGGGCTCTCCATCATCACTCTGCACTTCTTGCTGCCACCATGTGAAAAAGGATGTGTTTGGCCGGGCGTGGTGGCTCAAGCCTGTAATCCAGCACTTGGGAGCCGAGACGGCGATCACGAGGTCAGGAGATCGAGACATCCTGGCTAACCCGGTGAAACCCGTCTAGTAAAAAAATACAAAAAATAGCCGGGCGAGGTGGCGAGGTCTGTAGTCCCAGTACTCGGAGGCTGAGGCAGGAGAATGGCGTAACCGGAGGCGGAGCTTGCAGTGAGCCGAGATCGGCCACTGCACTCCAGGCTGGGCGACAGAGCGAGACTCCGTCTCAAAAAAAAAAAAAAGGATGTGTTTGCTTCCCCTTCTGCCATGATTGTAAGTTTCCTGAGGCCTCCCAGCCATGCTGAACTGTGGGTCAATTAAACCTCTTTCCGTTAGAAATTATCCAGTCTTGGGTATGTCTTTATTAGCAGCGTGAGAATGGACTAATACATCAATTATAATGGATTCATTTTGAACATGTTAAGATTGACTTATCTTTGAGAAGATAGGTAGAGAGGTCCTGTGGGCACCTAGAGCTCACCTAGGACTGAAGACAGGTGTACATGGCTTTAATGTGAGTGCAGAAGCCATGAATGTGGATAAGATCTCCTTTGTGACGTACACAATGAAAGAAGAAAAAGGGTGAGAACTGAACCTGTGGAACATTCCCATTTATCAGCTGACAGAAGACTAAGGCCTGTGACAAAGGACCAATGGAAAAATAAAGGAGAGGATAAATGATGAATCAAAGGCACAAGGACAGGCTGGGCACAGTGGCTAGTGCCTGTAATCTCAGCACTTTGGGAGGCCAAGGTGGGTGGATCACTTGAGCTCAGGAGTTCAAGACCAGCTTGGGCAACATGGGAAGGCTCCGTGGGGGCGGGGGGCGGGGTGTGTGTGTGTGTGTATGTGTGTATATATATATATATGTATGTATAACAAGTACATTGGAGAGGCTGTGTTCAGGAGCACAGATGAATGGGTTGGACTTTACCAAGAGAAGCACGTTTTTTCCACTGAGAAAGAAAACCATAAGGGTGTGTGTGGAAGCAGGTAAGTGTGTAGACTGTAGTTGGTAAAGCTGAAAAAGCTCCTACGGAAAGATTCTCCCCAGGGCCTGAAAGCTTAAGGGAATGAATAACTCCTCCCTCCTCAGGCCCAGTCCTCAGGCGCAAAGCCACATGCGCTAGCAGTGTGCATCAGCAAGATAGCAGAAGCAGGAAGAGAGTTAGCCCGAAGACATGTACCCTGTGAAGACCCAGAGAGAGGCGGTCCACGTACCACGTAGCAGTTACATCAGACTGAGACATTTCCTGTTTACAGGAGACTATAAAACCTCTGCCCCGTCCTCATTTGGTGCTGATGCCATTTTAGGCCTCAGCCTGCCTGCACCCAGGAGCTCATTAAAACAGCATGTTGCTCCACACCGCCTCTTGTTGTCTGTTGGAGCGCTCTCGGGATTCCAACCGATACAAGAACATTTCACCTACCTGGTGCTTTGGCCTCATCTATAAAGTAAAAGCAAAGCCATCTGTTGTTAAATATGGAAACTCTGTGTAGCAGTGAAGATTAGGAGTAGTTAATGATAGAAGGATGACCCCTCTCAAAAAAAAAAAAAAGAAAAAAAAAGTTACATTGAGGGCCCAGCAGACATTGAATGAAAAATATGAACTCAAGTTAAAAATTTTTTTGCATTTTTTTCCAGCAGCTTTTCTACTGTCCTGAAACAAGGTAGAGAATCTGAGGTAAGATATGGCATGAAAAATGTTTGACATGGCTACTTTTGCCGTAAACAGAAAGTAGAAAATAATTAAAAGTAGTTCCACTTCTAGCGTTACCTAAAGTGCAGTGTTGCCTTATAAGACAGAATACCTGGACCCTGCCTCATGTGTGCCTATTGTTTGCTGAACGGATTTTAATCCTATAATAAAATCTCTCACAACATGCCATGGAAAGTATTTCCTAGAATTCTTAAAAACTAATGAGAAGGAAGCTTGAACATGCTGATTAACATAGAAGCTAGCTACTGGAAAAGAAAAGCAAAATTGAAAGATATTGTTTTAATATCCTTTCAGCTACTCTAAGATTACATAACTGAATATAGAACAAGCTATATAAAGTACAAGGCTTAGTAAAAGAAACATCAGGCTAATACCTGAGTTTTCATACTTATGGCTTAAACTTCTCATACAATGTACTACTAGCCTAATAGACATTTTAGAATTAATTATTGCAAGTAGTTCATGGAGATAAGTGCATTTTTATTCAACTTTAAGTAGTTTGTTTCATTGAGTATAAATAAGCAATCTCATCAATGATCACTTCAAAGATACAGTTTATTAAATATCTTAATCATTATTCACAAAGCATTATAGGATTATTAGTAAAGCTCTCTAATAGATAGTATTATTATTTTCACTCTTTCCAAGGAGTCAGTTGTCAATATAAAAAATATGTTTAGAGAACGGGTCAGTAAAGCAGCGATTTGAATAATGAAGGATATTTGAACAATTGAAGGATAATGAATCAAACTGAGGCAAACAAAGGAAGTGAAAATGAAGAATAAAGTGATGTAAAGAATTACTGTAAGAATAGTAAGGAGTATTTTATAAACAAACTGTCAAAAGCAAATTCTTCACAATAAACAAATTCTGAACAATAAGTCTATGAGGAGTTGCCACTGAACTTTAAGTTGCTCGAACACACTAACTGTGGAAGAGTAGTACAAATGACAAGTAGGCTTCCCACTAGAAAATAAAAATTTGATTCCAGCAGTAGCACATCTTCAAGTCCCTCCTCCTCACTTCCTCCTTTCTTAGACATTCTTTGTCAAAACAAAACAGATCTACTTAAAAGGCCAAAGGCCACTGGAGAAAGAGTTTATGATCAGACAACCCAGGTGTCCTGTGTCTATAAGGGAAATACAGGTCTTGAAATGAGATGGACTGGAAATAATGAATTAGTTAGAATTCACAGGGAAAGAACTTCATTCCTTAGCATTTATCTTCATGGTATTGTTTCTGTGGTGTATTAGTACTTCAGTAACTTATTCCTGTAATGATCTAGGTTACATGTAGGCATGTATTTATCACAATAATCTGATGGCTGTCTAATAACTAGTCACATACATGACATCTCTACTTCATATAGTAGGAGAAACTTACTCTAAAGTAAAATATGATACATATGCCTTTTTAATTCTGCAGTAACCCATTCATCTTTATTAATAGATTTTTAAAATACCAATATGTATTTTTCTGAAATGTATGCAATCAATCCTTTGTCAATTCTTTACTACTATGATCTGAAGGAAGTTGCAATTCAGAGAGAGTAAGGTTTACAATTATACTTGAAGATGAGAGTACTAAACATCTGTGATATATCTGAAAACCTAGCCAATGGGTGACTACTGCTTTCAGTACCTGACTTGCTGCCTAGTAAACTAAACTGGGTGCCTAAAATTCCCTTTGTTTATTTTCAACTTCAATTATATATAAATTGAAAGATATTGTTTTAATATCCTTTCAGCTACTCTAAGATTACATAACTGAATATAGAACAAGCTATATAAAGTACAAGGCTTAGTAAAAGAAACATCAGGCTAATACCTGCGTTTTCATACTTAGTACAAAAGTCTAAAATATTTTTTACCCCCGACCTGAATATAGCTTAAACTTCTCATACAATGTACTACTAGCTTAATAGTCATTTTAGAATTAATTATTGCAAGTAGTTCATGGAGATAAATGCATTTTTATTCAACTTTAAGTAGTTTGATTCATTGTTTTGATTATAAATAAGCAATCTCATCAATGATCACTTCCAAGTTACAGTTTAATATCTTAATCATTACTCACAAAGCATTATAGGATTATTAATAAAACTCCCTAATAGATAATATTATTTTCACTCTTTCCAAGGAGTCAGTTGTCAATATAAAAAATATGTTAATATAAGAATAGTAAGGAGCATTTTATAAATAAACTGTTAAAAGCAAATTTCATTACCTTACTTGCTGCCTAGTAAACTAAACTGGGTGCCTAAAATTCCCTTTATTTTTCAACTTTAATTATATATGCACAGTATTTTAATTACTTAGCCTCTATTGTTCCAGATGCTTAGATTTTTCCATATCAAAATTCTCCAGTTTCCATTGTGTTATTTCCTATTATAAGATTATTCAAAGTAGTTTTTTTCTTTATTGTTGTTTTTCAAAGGGAGGCAGACTGACCAGTTGTGTTTGGGGTTATTTCACAATGCTAGCTCCTTCCTGTATACAAATTCACACAGGCACCCGTATTCATACAAATGCTGGCCCTAGGTAAAAAAATAAGGTTGCCAAGCATTTGAAGTCTTGAGACCATTCTTTCTTTGCTCCTCCTTTGGGGATCACCACCTCCCCTTCAATTATTCTGCATTCTCCTTTTTCTCCTCTTCCTTACAAAGAGCCTGGAATCAGTCACAGCTCCTGACCCTCCTGAGTTACATGGCCTACTTCTGAGGCACGCATAGACTTGGTAGCAAAGCAAAGGGAAAGGAAGCGACAGACCTGTCTCAGCTGCCAGCTGCAATCTTTCTCACACACCAGTGCATCTCCTTCTTACAAGTTACATCCTGTCAGTAGACGGACTGGCCCAACAGCAAAATTGTATCTATTGAGGTTAAACTTGCCCCAAACAGTGTTTGTTGGAGCAGAGAGGAAGAAAGGGTACAAAATAGGAAGGTGAGTTCTCGAAAGAGTTAAAATCCAGCCTTAAAAATTCCACATATGCTCAGTCAAGTAAATCCTCATGAATTTTTTTACTGATATTTTGTCCTAGAAGATAGTGATATTAACATATTCTAGAAAAGAAAAACCTTGATTCAGTAACAACCTCACTGAGAGATACGTGATTAAATGTTGATGACAAAATATATTTTGAGGTTATCTCAAAGTTTAATGAAGTTCTAAATATATAGAATGATTGAATATACACTTTTAAGAAAACATGCAATAGGAGACTAGATAGAGCTGAAAAAGAGGCATCCATAGATTTTAGATTGTTCATTTCTTATATATTTGATTTTATGTATGAGAGTGTTTGTTATCCTGATTCAGACTGAAACGACTTTGAATGGTATTTGTGGAATCACTTTTTTTTCTAGCCTGAGGAATAATTTATTGTGGAAAAGTTGAAAAGTTGCTCTAATTCACTAATATTTCAAAGCATCATTTATTTTCTCAGGGAAAGAACCAGAAAAATTGGATCCAAACTTAAAATATCAATATTCATAGTTTAGCATTTAAAAATGAATAACTATGTGGAGTTACCAGTGATACTTTTAAAATTTATATTTTTGCTATGTGTACTGTTTCAACAAAGTCATGAGTATACCAAAGTGGGCTAACAGTCCTCATTTCAAAATGTTGCCCCAAAATAATTTCTGAACCACATGACAGATGTTTGATACAGATGACTAAATTTCTTGTCATGTTTATTGTTAATAGTAAAGCCAACAGAGTGCTAGACTTCAGACACTAATATCTTCAAAATATGGACTTACATGAAACTAGACAGCAACATCATCTTAAAGTACTTTTTTCTCTTAAACAAACAAATCAAAAAAAGCCAAGATCAGAGTTGAAAGGAAGAAAAATACATTGAGTGACACCATATGGCAGCCAGACACTGAGGTAGATGCTTCATATACCTTAGGTCATTAAACGTTATAGTTAAGTAGAAAATGTTTTAAAGTTGTGGAGGTATTTAACTAGTTTTTCATTTTCTAAGCCAGCACAGCTTTTGACTCACCTGTTCATAATGCAGAGATTATTTGTTCTGCCCTGCGTTTCTGTTGCACAACATTTTCTCTCTTTTAAAAGACATTTATTGAATCATCATCTGCCTCAGGCTTGATATGGCATAGCCTCTGAAAGACTGGTTTAGTACTTCAACTCACCTTTCAAAATATTTCCAGTGCAGGCCATTCAGTGTTCCAGGTACCTAATGAGTCATTTTCATCTTCCCAGTCTACCAAGCAGGATCTCAAAGCCTCCTTTATCTTTCTGGGTGTATACAGAGTCATTAAGCTCAAATATGTCCTTTGCCAACAGACTTGAGGGTTGGGTTTAGTTATTAACTTGGTGAGTCTCCACCCAGCTAACTATTCTAGGAAATCATTTGGTGAGTCAGGCATTCTTGTATTCACATTGCAGCAGCCAGTCATCTGTCCTAAGTGCTGCCGCCGAAGACTGAATGTCCTGGAAAGTTTGTTATCACATCTCCATTATGACAAAAGCATTGTGCCGAACAGATGAAAAAATGCATTGTCAATGGAATATTTTATGTTTGTTTTCCTTTAAGCAATATTGCCTTGTTATAAAAGATCAATAAATATTTTTTCATTTCAATTCTGATGAGTCTGTGAGCTGTTACCATCAAGCACAGAGCAGCATCCTACTTTGGGATTGAGAAAGTGGGAAATCTAAAGTGAAAGTCTACAGTGATTAAACAAAACTGAAAACTGAGCCACTCCTCTTCCATCTGGTACAGAAATTGTGACCACATGCCCTTCTCTCCACTAAGAGGAAAGACCAGACTCACTGGTTCACTGGTATGTTTTCCTTATAGTAGACTGTGGTATGACAATGCCAAGTGATAAAACTTCTATGACACCCCTCTCTCCAGTTGATCCAAAGAACTTGGAGGGGAGGAAGAAGGGGGAAGATGTGAGGAGACACAGCAAGTTAGGCACCTCTGTTTTTTCACAGGAGCAAAAATAATAGGTTCTTATCTAGTTGGAAGGTGAGGATACTACTAATTCATAAAACAACATGAACAGAGTTAATTTTCTAAATGTCAAGACGTAAAGAAAATTTAACCTTCTTTAGGAAAAAAAAATTCTAAAAGAAAGAAATACATTTGTATTAAATTATTACTATGTAATAGGTGCTAAACCAAGCACCTTACATGTTTTTGCTCACAACAACTCCATAATGTTGCTGTTATTTCACCATTTTACTGATGTATTAGTCCGTTTTCATGCTGCTGATAAAGACATACCCAAGAGGGGGTAATTTATACATGGAAAAGGGGTTAGTGGACTTACAGTTCCATCATGGCAGAAGGCAAGGAGGAGCAAGTCACATCTTACATGGATGGCAGCAGGCAAAAAGAAAGAGCTGGCCAGGAACAGTGGCTCACACCTGTAATCCCAGCACTTTGGGAGGCTGAGGCAGGTGGATCACGAGGTCAGTAGTTTGAGACCAGCCTGACCAACATGGTGAAACCCTGTCTCTACTAAAAATACAAAAATTAGCCAGGCGTGGTGACAGGCTCCTGTAATCCCAGCTACTCAGGAGGCTGAGGTAGGAGAATTGATTGAATCTGGGAGGCAGAGGTTGCAGTGAGCCGAGATCACACCATTGCACTCCAGCCTGGGTGACAGAGTGAGACACCATCTCAAAAAAAAAAAAAAAAAGAGAGAGAGAGAGAGAGCTTGTGCAGGGAAACATCTGTTTTTAAAACCATCAGATCTCATGAAACTTATTCACTACCATGAGAACAGCATGGGAAAGACCCATCCCCATGATTCATTTACCTCCCACTGGGTCCCTCCCATGAAATGTGGACATAGTGGGAGTTACTATTCAAGATGAGATTTGGGTGGAGACACAGCCAAATCATATCAACAAATAAAGAAATTTAGGACAGTAACTTTCCCAGAATCATACAGCTGAGCCAAAATTTAGATGAGTTCATTGCATTTGTTTTTAAGCACCAGACTATTAAATTAGGTTTTGTTATTTTGGAAGAGCCAGAACTAATGGCAAGTATGTTGTATTGCCCATATAGTAAGGAATTAAAAGAAAACTAATGTGACTAGCATGTAGCCTTACAATTAGTCTGTGTTTTATATGTATAATACATATTTATAATATATACAATAACTTGTTTTGATACTAAATTTTACCTTTTTTAAAAAAAAATCACACGATGAAACTTTCAAAGTAATCATTCCAAGACAATGAGAAATAACTGTATTAAAACATAGCTAAAATTCGTAACATAGGCAGCATCAAGATTCAGTTCCAAAAGCAGATCCTACTGAAAGTTATAAAGTTAAAAAAAAAAAGTGTTCACATTTGACAAAGATGGGTTGTAGTGGCTCAAGTGTTCATTATTCTTATCTTTTCACATGTTTAGAATATTTTACATAGAAATATATTTATAAAAACATGGACCATTACCAATGCAGAACTTCTGGCCATTATCCTTACCTTGATTATACCCTAGGGAACCTTATTTTCCAACTTTGTACCTGAGCTCATAGGGAAAACCAGAAATAATAAAAAGAATATATGCTAGGTAGAAGCCTATCTGAACACATAATCTTTTTCTGGGAAAATATAAAAGGACTATAGAGCAAGATGGTTTTTAACTGTTAACGAATTCTTCTAAAATACCACGTGATATAACTAAAAAGAAAACACTTCCAAATTGATTTGATCAGGTTTACAAATCTGATACCAACAGTTGACAAATGCAAAACAAAACAAAACAAAATAAAACAAAAAAACCAAGGGAGACTACTTGAGGAAGAAGAGAAAGAAGTAAAAAGAAAGGAAAGGAAATTAAACAAAATAGCATTTATGGCTATAGATGAAGAAATGTTAAATACAATCTGTCAAATCAAATTCAAAAATATATTCAGGCTGGGAGTGGTGGCTCATGCCTATAATCCCGGCACATTGGGAGGCCAAGGCAGGCAGATCTTTGAGTCCAGAAGTTCAAGACCAACCCAGGCAATAGGGTGAAACCCCATCTCTACAAAAAACACAAAAATTTGCCAGGCATGGTGGCACATGCCTGTAGTCCTTGCTACTTGGGAGGCTGAGGCAGGAGGATCAGTTTGAGCCCAGGATGCAATTAGCCGAGATCGCGCTATTGCACTCCAGCCTGGGTGACAGAGCAAGACCCTGTCTCAAAACAAAAAACAAACAAACAAAATACATATTAAAAGAAAAATCTGTTCCCACCAAGGAAATTTTACTCTCATGAAATTAAAGGATAGTTTAATCTAGAACACTAGACATAACCACATGGCATTTATACATGAAAGGAGAAAATAAAAATAGATATCAAAAGGTACCTAATAAATTTAATGCCAATTCCTCATTTTTAAAACACCCACAATATACTAGTAGTAGATGGATATCTCCCAAACATAATAAAGAATATTATTTATTGATTAGTCAAGGGAACGCTAGCTGCTGTAATTTATAAATTCTGTGGTTTAGTAAAATATGTTGATTTCTTATTCCTCTGTTGTTCAACTAGTGGCAGTGTCAAGGAGGTGAGGAGAGCATGATTTCAGAGTGTAATGTGTGAGGTACTGTCTACAAGATCAAGATACTCAGGATAATGGAGCCTCTACCATCTTCAATACACAATTTCTCAGGCTGCCCTGAGAATTAGCATCTAACCAGCAAACAGGGAACAAAAGGAGAACATACATGGGATATTTTTAATACAGATTAGGTCAGGAAGTGGCACTCATTACTTCCACTAACATCCCACTAATTAGAACTTCACATATTGTTGCTTCTAACTGCAAAGAAGGCTGAGAAATGTAGTCTCTCTGTGTACCAGATGAAAAACTGGGTTTGGTGAACAGTTAGCCAGTCTCTGCTGAACTTATTCTACTGGTTATCAAATAGTCTTTTTTATTCTTCTTCCTACACAGAGCTAACTTCCTTCTCAAAAGAGACAATTCAAAATCCCAGCCAGTCCCTATGTCCAGTTCAAAATACAGGATCTCCAAGTGCTAATGATGTAGAGTTCTTTCTCTCTGATTAAAATGTAGCCTTATAGTTCAGCAACATTATCAATTAAAATGATAAATATCTGCCCATTTCCCTCCCCTTCACACACACACACACACACACACACACACACAGAGAGGAGAGAGAGAGAGAGAGAGAGAGAGAGGGAGAGGAGAGAGAGAGAGAGAGGAATGTAGCAGTTATTACCTTTTAATTTACTATATAACCATCTCCTTTGTTTGGTGTCACCTTCCATTAGAACTTAAACTCCATGATAGCAGATTTTTGCCTCCCCACCATTCCACTGCTGTATGCTCTCAGTATCTACAAGTAAATAATTGTTAAATATTTATTTACATTGCCCAAAATAAGCATGTATTATTTTTACAGTGAAATTAATTTTTGAACAGAAATGCAAATATCTTGGGAAGTGGTTAAGCATCATTCAGACTGTGGTTTCAATTTCCCAAATCTCACTGTTGGAACTGAATCACCACTCTTGGAGCTGGGGTTTGTATAGGCAGGGAAAGAAAGTAGGATGGTGGAATATAGGACTATGGAGAACTGAAACAGCATGAAGACACTGGTCGGCAAGAGACCAAAAAAGGGGAGTCAAGAGGTGAAAGACAGGATCAGAACGAAAGGTGAGAGAGTAACAAACTTTGGTTTGAGCCACAAGAGTAATTAATTCATTAATTAACTGATTAGGAACTTGTAAACTCTTTCATTCAATAGTAAAATATTGATTTTTATCTGCCACAACTGTGATGAGTATTTGGGATTAAAACATGAACAAGAGACAGAGCATGACCTCGAGAAACTCATATCTAGTTTTGGGGGACGGAATATAGTGAGTATATGAGTGTGATAAGGGAGATGTGAATGGAATGTTATGACAACACAGAAAGAAAGCAATTAACCAGGCCATGGCCAAGTGGAGGACAGATCCAAGAAAAGTTTCAGGAAGAAAGAACCTGAGTCTTAGAAGAGAAGATAGCATTTGTGAAGGTTTCGAGGAGAAGCAGAGAGAGGCATAACGCATTCAGAAGACTGGACTTTAGGGAGTAAGGGGGTTGGAGATGTTAGCAGGTGACAGATTGTGAAGGTTCATTCTTGTCCAGCTCTAATTCCTTTAAGCCACCAAGCTGTCCTTACACACACACACACACACAAATATACACTACATAAAAGGGGAGTTCTACTTCTTACATATAACTCCTTTTCATTTTTAATCTGTCTCATTGTTTTGGTACTTTGGAAATACTCTTATCTGAATATCAACCTTGATGCCCACTGGAAAGCAATTGTAGTCCTCATCTCTGGAAAAGCTTCCTCAAGTTGTCCTATTCATACTCTCCTCCTGGTTCCATTTGCTCCAGAACCCTTTATTTCCCTCTGCCAATGCTACTCCCATCCCAGATGCAGACTTTATAAGCCTTTATAAGCTTTGCTAAGACATGTGCACTTGACCCTAGATAGCCACCAAAGAATTTTAATCATAAGCATGATAACATAATAAAATTTGCATTTTATAAAAATCACTCAGCAGTGTAGAGGATGGCTTGGAAGGGCATAAACTGGTAGCAGAAGACATTTAGAGTAAACTAAACCAAATAAGAAAGGCTGACATTATGCCTTATTATTATCAGTAAAATAAAAACAGTTTTAGAGAGATGACTGTTCATATCAGGCCTACCAGAACACACCAGTCCAGGTATGTTAAAGATCTGTTTGTTATTTGTCTTGTGGAGATAAAGGGAAAGGTGAGCAAATAATAGTATCCTCATTATAATCTAAAACTCATCTAACATTAAATTTTATGCTCTCTGCCTACATGTAAGAAAGGCAAACTATTAATTTGTTTAAAGGATTCATTAAACTGATTTCAGAAAGGACATAATTCTATTACCCTTTATTTTACTTTATTTTATTTATCTTTATTTTACTGTGTCTAGCAAGACCAAAAATAATAAACTCTTTAAGGATGAAAAAGGTTAAGTGGGTTATATCTGGATTTTTTTCCTAAAGGCTCAGAATTTTAAATTAAGCATTATCTTAACATGCATTCTTAATAAATTGTTTCATAAATGAGATAAGGTACATGAAAGTATAAAGTATATTTAATTGGAGCCTGCTTTGTGCAAAGCACTCTGGCAGACAGAAAGAAGAGTAAAAGATGTTCTCTGCCTCAAAGAAACTTTTATATAATATATATCCCAGAAACACTCAATTTAAGATTAATACCTTCTTAGCCAGGAGAGTATACGTGAAGTGTTTGTGACTATCTCAAAAACACAAGCACTATAGACAAAATATTCAGCTTCTAGACTGACGGCTTGTAAAGAATTAAGCAGACTAAACTGGGCCCAAAATCTACTTTACTCATCCTCTCCTGCTTAATGAAATATCCTGAGAAAATATCAAAGGCATATTGAAAGAAATGAAAGCAATAAACTAATTAGAACTGACAAGGTTATCTTAAACAGGAGAATCACAGATGATGGAGCCTATGACATTAGCATCCTTTTCACAACAATCTATGTCTTGCCTAGATTCATACAGTTTAGTGACAGCACTAGAGTTTGAATCCAATTCCCCAAATTATTAACAGTCTTTTCATTTTACCACATTAACGGGTAGAATAGACCTCCCCAAACAATATGAAACAGCAATTATTTTCTGCATTTAGATATAGTCCAGCCCAAATCTTCTCTAATTTATAAAAATATCTTTGAGAGAAAGGAGAGCTTCTGAAAAACATATTTTAATCTTTAATGCCTTCTACTTTGCCACTCTAATACTACGGTAAGGACAATCCAAAATAAAAATTCTTTTTTTTCTTTTTCTTTTTTTTTGGGACAGAGTCTCACTCTGTCGCCTAGGCTGGAGTGAAGTGGCAAGATCTCGGCTCACTTCAACCTCCATCTCCTGGGTTCAAGCGATTCTCGTGCCTCAGCCTCCTGAATAGTTGGGACTACAGATGTGCATCACCACGCCTGGCTAACTTTTTGCATTTTCAGTAGAGATGGGGTTTCGCCGTGTTGCCCAGGCTGGTCTCAAACTCCTGGGCTCAGGCAATCCGCCGGCCTCGGCCTCTCAAAGTGCTAGGATTACAGACATGAGGCACCACACCCTGCCTAAAGTAAAAATTATCTTAAGAAATTGGAAGATACCCCTATTCTGATTCTAAGAGACTGGAAATCTGTGTTATCTAAGTCCTGTAGCACTGTGCATAAGAAAGTAGAAGGAATCTTAGGCAGGGGTAAGAAAGTGAGCCGAAGTGCCAAGACCAGCTAAGGCAAAGGTTAAGATAGAAAGGTAGGCAGGTGCTAAATTGTGAAGGGCCTTTAAAAAAATCAAATGAAAATGTATCTTGATACATACATGTATAATGTATGTATATATGTATTTTTCTAGAAAAAGTCTATCAGGCAAGGAAAGACAATAATGCCTGAGAAAGAAAATAAGAGGAGTTCTATAATTGCTCCACAGCATGGAGAAAGTATCCATGTTGTGGATCAGGGAGGGGAACCCAGACAAAGCCTGGTAATCTTGAGTTGAGAAAAAGCTGGAAGTCAGAGGAGGCCATGGTAGGTAATGTTTGCAGGGTGGAGTAGAGGAGTGGTAACAGCTACATAGAGAATTCCAAAGATCTGCAGATCTCCCGTGAATCTTCAGCTGGGTATTGAAAAGTGCCTTTATGTAAAAATTCTATCTGAAGCAGGGGGAAGCACTTGAAAAGAATTATTGCAAACAATTCCGGGTGTTCATACAGGGTTGGATATAATGCCTCTTCCTACCAAAGGGAGTGGAAAATGTCATAATTCACAAGACATCATGGAATACTCACAGAGTTGTGCCTCATATTAGGGAAAAATCTACCCTAGACTAAATGCTGCTCTTGTCCCATGTACCAAAGCATAAAAGCAAGATCTGAAAGATTCAAACCGTTTCCAAGTGACTCAACTGCACCCCATGACAAGTCTAAGAATATTTATAGGAATACAAAAATGTCAAAAAACAGCAAGGCAAAATTTATAATGTTGACCACTGAATCAGAAATTATTTGGAATTCAAAGAAAGGGGAAAATATAACCGATCATAAGGGGAAAAAACCCAACCCATTGACATTGACCCAGAAATGATATAGCTGACAAGATAAGGATTCATATATAAGAACATTAACAGTCATAATTATATTATATATTCAAGAAACTAGAGGAAGCATTGAACATGTAAAATAGAAATATGGGTAATACAAAAAATATAAAATTCTAGAGTTAAGGTCAGCAAATGTTATTTTTAAAGAGTCAGAAAGTAAATATCTCAGGCTTTGCAGTCCACTTAAGGTATTCTTTCTTATGAAAACTTTTTAAAATGTAAAATCATTCCTAGCTCATGGACTATACAAAAAAAGGGCCAAGGGATTATTGTCCATGGGTCATATTTTGCTACCTCCTGTTCTAGAGGGTAAATCTACAATGTCTGAAATGGAAAATACATTGAATATGATTAATAGCAGAGTAGGCACATAGAAGAAAAGTGAACTTGAAGACATAGCAATAGAAACTATCCAAAATGAAACAAAGAGAAAACAAAACACTAAAGAAAAAAGAACAGCGCTTGAGTAAGTTATAGGACTACTATAAGCTGTCTAATATATACACGATTATAGTTCCCAAAGGAAATGAAAAATATTTGAAAATATAATGGCCAAAAATATTCCAAAAGTTGGTGAAAAGTCTAAACCCATAGATCCATGAACCAACAAAGTTGAAGCATAAAAAAAGTGAAGAAAATTATACCGCGGCACTTTATGGTCAAAATGCTTTTTTAAATGAAGAAAAGATTTTAAAAGCAGACAGAAGGGAGAAGAAAAGCCACATTACACAACTAGGAATGAAAATAAAGATAACAGCAGATTTTTTGTTGGAAACAATGCAAGCAAGAACACAGTGGAGCATCATCTTTAAAATATTAGGGGGAAAAAAGTCACTCTAGAATTCTACGCCCTATGAAGATATCTTTCAAAAATAAAGGTACAGTAATGACATTGTAAGACATACAGAAGCAGAAAGTTTACATCACTAGCACACCTACATTCTAAGAAGTGTTAAAGGTCAAGAACGAAACAATACCAGATGAAAATCTAAGTCAACACTAAAACATAAAGAGCACTGGAAATGATAACTATGTGGGAAAATACAGAAGAATGTCTGATATATTTAAATGTCTTTTAAAAATAATTGATCATTTAAAGCAAAAACAATGCATTGTGAGGTTTATAACACATGTAGAAATAAAATGTATGACAACAGCACAAATCATGGGAATGGAAAATGGAAGTATAGTGTTGTAAGGTTTTTAAAATACACGTAAAGTATGTAATACACTTGACATTGGGTCATGATAAGCAAAAACTATATATGATAAATCTTAAAATAACCTCCGAAATACCATAAAAAGAGCAATTGCTAATAAGCCAACAAAGGAGACAAAATTGAATCATTAAAAAATATTAATGCAAAATAAGTTTTAAAAAAGAATAAAAGACGGACAAAGAAGATAGTACAAACAGAAAACAAGCAACAAGATGATACATTTAAACCAAAACATATCCATAAATACATTAAATACAAATGATATAAACATATCAATTACAAGCCAGAGATTGAGACCTCCAAGAAATCCACTTTAAATATAAAGACAAAAGTAGGTTAAAAGTAAAAAGATAGGAAATTATATATCATAGTAACATAAATCAAAATGAAGTTGAAATGACTGTATTAATATAATACTAAGCAGATTTCAGAGCAAAAAATTTCACTAGGGAAAATGAAGGCCATTTCATAATGGTGTATTATTCATATAAATTCATTGAGAGGACCTATCCTAAACAAATATGCACTTAATAAAAGGGTGCCAAAATACATGAAGTAAACATACATAAAACTACAAAGAGAAATGCATAATGCCTACTTTGTTGAAATTTTGTTATAAGGAGCAGAAATGATGTATGTTAAGTATCAGGACTAGCACTCAGCAGATGATAAAGGTTCAATATGTTATCTACTATTACTAGTATCAGAAAACTAAAAGATATTATAGTGGTTTATGCAATGCTTAAAGTTTTACTCAACTTTTGTTTTTGCTGTAAAATGTAGATTTAAAAATCTACAGATTACATTAATTTCCATTCACATTGTACCTTAAATCCTTTTCTCCAGTCTCACCAGAAGAGATGTTCCTCTTTTTGTTCAAGTTTGACTTTTCCTTGGACTACAGAAGCATTGTGAAAGAGAAAATATTTTGAAAGAAAGGTTAGACAAGACATGGAAATGGAATGGACAGGAAACTAAAAAAAAGGGAAGCATCAAATATAGCTGTATTAGACATAAACATGGGAACAGTAGACACTGTGGACTACTAGAGGAAGGGAGGCAGTGGAGTACGAGTTGAAAAACTACTTGTTGGGTACGATGCTCACTACCTGGGTGCAATATATCCCTGTAACAAATCTGCACATATACCTTCTATATCTAAAATAAAAGTTGAAATTAAAATACGTGTGTGTGTGTGTATATGCTGGGCACAGTGGCTCACGCCTGTAATCCCAGCACTTTAGGAGGCTAACACAGATGGATCATCTGAGCTCAGGAGTTCAGGACCAGCCTGGGCAACATTGCGAAACTGTCTCTACTAAAAATACAAAAATTAGTCAGGCATGGTGGTAAGAGCCTGTAGTCACAGCTACTCGGGAGGCTGAGATGGGAGGATCGCTTGAACCTGGGAGGCAGAGGTTGCAGTGAGCCAAGATCATGCCACTGCACTCTAGCTTGGGTGATAAGAGATCCTGTCTCAAAAAACATATATATATATAAAATATATCTATGTATATAATATATATGTATATATATAATATGCATATATAATATGTATATATGAAAAGGATTTCAAAAGATAAAGAAGTGAAAATAGAACAAAAGAAAAGAAAAAAATATATATATGGCAGTGAGGTTCTAGGCTTAGTAAATGGGAGGGGAAGGGGTATTGACAGAAACCAGAAGTTTGGCAGAGAGCTAGATCTGTGCATGAAGGAAGGCAGGATGAGTTTGGGATATGTTGAATAAGAAGGTATAGCAGGATAACAGGAAAAGTGATACAGTCTGATACGAAGCAGATGATATGGGGCTGGAATTGTTTTAAAGATCAAGTCTCAAGATATAAATGTATGAGTCATAGGAAGACTGAGATAGTTGCCCTAATGTGTTTGCTGTCAAAGAGCAAATGATAATTAGTATAAATATTATGTTTAAAAAAAAAACCACAGTAAGCTTCAGGCATACAAAGAAGAGAATAATTCAGAAATCATTTCACTGCCGTCACTTGATACTAGTTAATTATACTTCACAGGAATGATTCAGTGGGATGGTGGTAGGAGGAATGTTTCTGTCTGACAGACTGACTCCAATGATCCAAGCAGACATGCTGTCTTTGGGAACCCTAGGTAACCTGAATTGCAACCAAGAAGTCACTATTTGTCCCTTTATAACAAAATATAACAAAAACTACTTTGAACTTTAATAGACCAGGAAGCACCAGGTTTTTTTTTCTGTATTATTAGTCTGATATGGAGTATATGTATTACATAGAATGAGACTCTGTCTTAAAACAAAAACAAAACATCATGAAATAATATTACAACATTGTTATGAAGTAATACATTTGCCCTTCTGGTTTGTAGCTGTTACTAACCCATAAAGGAAGTCCTATAATGAAACTTTGTTCTGCTGTTTTATATTTCTTGTTAAAGTAATATAACCTCCTAAAAAACTTTGAGTACTGTGGGCATTCACCCAAGTATCCGTAAATGATAAAATCTATACTCTGCCTGGAGACAAGAGTGAATGCCCCAGAAGGAGGTTTAATACTTTATTATTACTTATCACACTTTATTAGAGTACTCTAATTCTTACAAAAAAGAATTCAGAATTCCCTGTATGAAATGCCAAAAATAATCACATTGTTGAAAAAAGTTGTGGAATAACTTTGACTATATCTCATTTTTAATTTTCAAATAATGACCATACAACAGGAATATTTTAAAAATCATAAAGCCCAGTAAGGAAAAATACAGATTTTTTTTTTTTTTTTTTTAGTAAATTAATGTTTAGCATCTGACAAATATGAGACATCCTTCATGAGGCTATTTCCTTTCTTTTTTTTTTTGAGATGGAGTCTTGCTCTGCCGCCCAGCCTGGAGTGCAATGGTGTAATCTCGGCTCACTGAAACCTCTGCCTCCGGGATTCAAGTGATTCTCCTGCCTCAGCCTCCCGAGTAGCTGGGATTACAGACACCCACCACCACGCCTGGCTAATTTTTGTATTTTTGGTAGAGCCAGGGTTTCACTATGTTGGCCAGGCTAGTCTCAAACTCCTGACCTCGTGATCTCCTGCCTTGGCCTCCCAAAGTGCTGGGATTACAGGAATGAGCCATCGCGCCCGGACTTCATAGGGCTATTTTCAAATTTACAATATTCATTTCTTCTACTGTCTCAATCTTTAGCTGAATCAATGTTGTGCAACTGAGAAAGGGAGAGATAACCTGATCTTTGGATTACGAGAATATTCCACAGTTAGAAGGGTTTAGCAAACATTCAAAAACACTTCATGCCAAAGTTAAATTATGTAAACCAATTACAAGATAGAAAGGATTCGAAATCTTACATTCCTTGAGCACAACATAGATTGAAAGTGACACATATAACATAAAATGTTAATGTACATTAAATGTGACACAAAACTGTTTATTAGCAGCATAATGGGTGACAAGAAATCTGGGATGATAAATACGGGAAGTAAATTTAGAATCAGGAAATTTCTACACAAATTTCTAAAGGAATTCAAATTGTATATAATGGGATTATCTTCTCATATGTGAGAGAAAACAGACCTAGAGAAGGTAAGACACTCTCAAGATAACACAGTATAATGAAGACTTTAGAATTAGAACCAGGTAATGTGACAATTAGATCAGTGTGCTAAATCCTCTAGTAGTCTGTACCTCAGCAGATGGCATAAATTTTCTTATTTCTTATGGTTTTTGTTGTTGTTGTTGCTGTTTTTTATTTTTGAGAAGGAGTCTCACTCTGTAGCCCAGGCTGGAATGCAGTGGTGCCATCTCAGCTCACTGCAACCTCCGCCGCCCAGGTTCCAGCGATTTCCATGCCTCAGCCTCTGGAGTAGCTGGGAATACAGGTGCCTGCCACCACACCCGGTAATTTTTTTATTTTTAGTAGAGATGGGGTTTCTCTGCTAAACCCAGGCTGGTCTTGAACATCTGACCTCAAGTGATCTGCCTGCCTCGGCTTCCCAAAGTGCTGGGATTACAGGGGTGAGCCAAAGCAGTCCCAGGTGAATTTTCGTATTTCTTTAAGACATTATTTTATATTCGTCTATCAATAGATAATTACCAGGAACTCTTGCTAAATCTCTAGGTTAGTTAAGTGCTCCTCTTCTGGGTTCCCAGACAACCCTGTACCTACCCCAATTTTAACTATGTAGGAGAACTTGTTTTTTTTTGTTTTTGTTTTTACATGCCTGTCTACCCCTACTAGACTGCAAACTCTGAGATTTTAGACTAACCGTTAACCTTCATTATATCCCTCAGTAACTAGCACAGTATTTGGCAAACATCTAATAAACAATAAAAATATATATATAATGGTTGAACTGATTTGACTTTTTTCGAAGGCGCACCATGATCCTTATCAACTTCTCCAGCCTCACATCCGCAAACAGTGGCATAGAAGTCTTAGTTTTAGTTCAGCACAAAGACCAGTTTCTTACGTACAGCTTTTATTTAAGCAATCCTTTTCCCTTTACTCCTCCCAACCGCCACAAGACATCCCACTTCAACTTTCTGGAATCATTTTCTCCTAGAAGTTTTTCCTGACTCATGACCTCTTCCCAAAGTTGGATTAATGCTTCTTCTGAGCTCCAATAGCTCCCTGTGCCTTTATCTCTGCACTATACACATTACATCATAGGGTAATACTGCAAACACTCCACCCAAGTTCTTTTTCATTCATGTTGGTATCTTCCAAGATTAGCACACTGCCTGGCACATAGCAGATGAGTTAACAATGTGATTTGAATAAAAAGAACTCGGAACAGGGAAAGAATCTTGGCACACAGTGTGGGCCACATGGAGTGCACGGAGGTGGAAATGCAAATAATTGGTTGTTTACTATATTCTCCTAAGACATGGCTGGAACTAAAAAAACAGAAAAAGCCTTTCCAATTTTGAGGCTAAAGTTCAAGTCACAAAACAAGCAACAAAAGCCTGTTTAGCAAGGACAGTAAAATGGTACAGGGCTATAAAAGAAGGGACAAATTAGAATTCAAGAAAGCAGGCCATTCATACAAATGCAAATAGATTGGTTCACAGGATAATGGGACACCCAATCATGTAAAAACTGGTACAAGCCGGGCATAGTGGCTTAGGCCTGTAATCCCAGCACTTGGAAGGCAGCGGCGGGTGGATCACCTAAGGTCAGGAGTTCGAAACCAGCCTGACCAATATGGTGAGACCCCGTCTGTACTAACAATACAAAAAGTAGTCGGGCGTGGTGGCATGTGCCTGTAGTCCCAGCTACTCGGGAGGCTGAGACAGAACTGCTTGAACTCCGGAGGCAGAGGTTGCGGTGAGCCGAGATCACACTACTGAACACCAGCCTGGGCGACAGAGCAACACTCTGACTCACAAAAGGAAAAAAAAAAAAAAAAAAAAAAAAAACTGGTGCAAAGATGAAAAACAATGGTTAAATTATATATTCAAAACCTGTCCCCCAAATGGCCTAGGTTACAAGACATCACCATTACTTTCAAATGAATGCACAAAGCTTTTCCCTTCTAATTCTTACTGTGGTAAAATATACATAACAGAAAATTTACCATTTTAAGTGCACAGTTCAGGAGCATTACGTCCATTCATTATTGAGCAACCAACACCACTATCCATCCTAGATTCATTTTTAACACACGAGTCGCAGCCGAAATTTTCCTTTCATTAACTCAGCTTTAGCAACATACTGAACTTTATGCACTACAAAAGTTTTTGCCACATAAGGTTCAGAAACAGGGAAGAGTGAAATAAATCAATGATCCTTCATGGGTTTCTGTTAATGGAATGTAACAGCGAAAGGCTTCACTTCATCAGCCCCCTCCCGCCCTTTTTGGCGTCATAAACCGAGAAATAACCAGATCAGCACCCATATCTCCCAAGATGCAAGGACCGGGTCCCGAAAGGCAGTTGTCCCGCCCCAGCGCAGATCCCCTGCAGCCTCCTTTCCTACCGCACAAATCGACTAGCGCAGGAACCGGGGTCTCTACCCGGGACTGCACCGAGGAGCTAGAGAGAAAGGGAGAAACAACATTGTGAGAAAAAAGGCTAAAGTTCTCGAACTCCCTCTTTTTGCCCTCTTCTTGCTCTCTACTCCTCCTCCACCTCCAGGTTCCATCCCTTAAACGCACAAGCAAGCCC